AGTATTATTGACTATATTTCCTATGCTGTACTTTGCATCGCTATAACTATTTTGTAACTACCAATCTGTAGTTACAAATCTCTTCACCTTTTTCAGTTTTGAGAGTTTATATATTCTGTGTACAAGTGCTTTGTTAGATACATGATTTGTAAATATTTTCTTCAAGTGTGTGGCTTGTCTTCTGTTAACAGTGTTCTTCACAGAGCAAGAATTTTTAATTTTGAAAATGTCCAATTTATAAATTATTTCCTTTATGGTTGTGCTTTTGGTATCATGTCTAAGAACTGTTTGCTGAACCCTAGGTCATGAAGATTTTTCATATTCTATAAGTTCTATAGTTTTACATTTAGACCTGTGATCCATTTTGCATTAATTTTTACATAAGGTGTGAGGATTAGGTCAAGGTTCATTATTTTGGATATGAATTCCCATTTGTTCTAACCCTGATTGTTGAAAGGACCATTTTTCTCCATTGAATTGCTTTTACAGTTTGTCAAATATCAATTGGCCACATTTATGGGGTCTATTTCTGGACTATATTATGTTATATCTATCTATATATCTGTATAGTACCATACAGTCTTAAAATCAAGTAGTATGATTTCTCTAACTTGATCCAGTTTTTTTCAGAATTTTTCAGCTATTCTTGTTCCTTTGCCTTTGTCTTTCTATAAAAACTTTAGAATAATCTTGTTACATATCTAAAAATTATCTTGCTAGGGTTTTTACCGGAATTGATTTAAACTTGTAGATCAGTTTGGAGAGAATTGATATCTTTATTATCAATGGTGGCTTCCAATCCATGAACACGATATGTCTATTTATTTAGATCAGGGGTGGGTAAGCTTTTTTTCTGCCAAGGGCCATTTAGATAATTATAACATCATTCAAGGGCCATATGAAATTATCAACTTAAAAATTACCCTGCTATATTTGGTCAAACATTTAATTAACTCACCCCTAATGCCTTGGCAGGGCCAGACCAAATGATTTCCCAGGCCTTATGCGGCCCGTGGGCTCGACATTCCCTATCCCCGTGTTAGTGGATATATCAGTTTGTTTAACCATTCTCCCGTGTACGTGAGAATTTTTATTGTTTCCAGTATTTTGCAATTAAGAATAATGCTGCAACAAAATATGTTGTGCATATGTTGTTTACTTATTGTTTAAATATATCTCCTATTTAAATTCCTACAAGTGACATTGCTGGATCAAATGGTAGTTTTGTTAGATATTGCCAAATTCCCTCCTGTAGAGGTTGTACTGTTTCCACTCCCACTAGCATTGTATGATAGAGTCTGTTTCTACATGGTTGCACTAATAGAGTATGTTGTCAGGCTTTTAAAATTTTTATTTTTTTTCAATCTGCTAGGTAAGAAATGATATCTCTCTATAGTTAGAATTGGTATTATTGTTACTATAAGTGAGTTGAAAATAATTTCATATATTTAAGAGCCATTTTTAGATCTTTTTTTGTCAATTGTCCTTTCTAATTTTCTATCAGGTATTTGCCCCCCCCCCCCCCCCCGCTTTGGTTTTTAAGAGTACTTTATATATTAAGGATATTAATCTGTGATACATGTTGCAACAATTTCCCCCCTAGTTTGTCATTTGTCTTTGGATTTATGTGTTTAGACTTGTAAAAGTGTTTTTTATATTTTCATGGTTTTATTTATAAATCTTTTATTGCATCTGTACCTTTACTTACAGTTAGAAAGTCTTTCCCTTTATTCAGGTTACCCAGGCATTCAACCAGCCTTTCTTATAATACTTTGTAGGGTTGAAATATTTTATATTTAGCCCCCTGATCCATTTGGTGTTTATTCTTGGGTATGGTATGAGGTATGGATCCAATTTATCCTTTCCAACTGGCTGTCCAGTTGTCCTGTTACCATTTATTACAATGTGGATCTGTTATCCTGTGCTTTGAGAGAATGCATACATCAAGGTATCCTCTAGTTACTTTGTGAGGGAGGGCTATTACAGTTTTTATTTTCCACTGTTTTTCTAGCTACTCTTGCACATGTATTTTTTATATGACTTTTAGTATTACCTTGTTAGTACCATTAAAGAGCTTGTTTTATTAAATTTGGGTCACATTAAATTTATATATCAACTGAGGGATAACTACATCTTTGTGTCATTCTGTCTTTGAAGAGTTTGACAAATCTGAAGTTGGAGGAAACAGTCCCCATAAGAGACCACTCACTTCTGACACTGCCTACAAGCTTGGGGTCCCAACAGCACCCTTAGGTTTGATAATTCACTGAAAGGGCTCATAGAACTCACTGAAAGCTGTTATACTCGTGGTCATGGCTTTTTACAGGTAGAGGACACCGATTGGAATCCACCAAGGGAAAAAGTGCATAGGGCAGGGTTCAAGAAATGACTAAATATGGGGCTTCCATGTTTCTCTCCCCATGAAGTTGGGATGTGTGGTAGTACCCATGGAGTCCTGCCAACCAAGGATACTCACATGAGCCTTGTCCTCCAGAGATTTTGTTAGGTTTCATTTTATAGATATGATTTTCCACGTGGCTGCTCTCCATCTCCAGCCCCTCAGGGAGTGATCCAAAGCCCCTCCCCCCCAAATTCACATTATTATACTATCCATGGTGACGCAAGACTCCCACGCAAAACATCCTTCCATTCTTTCTTCCTTCCATTCCAGTCTGTCCTTCTTTCCTCCCCCTCACCGTCCCTCCTTCTTTCCCTCCCTCCCTGTCTTCCTCCCTCCCTCGTTTATCTAGCTGTCTGTCTGTCTGTTTATCTTTGGTTATTTTAAGGAAATTACCATCAATTGTAATCTTAAATCAGGATTGGGAATTGAATTCTGTTTCAATATTTTTGCATCAGCATTTCTTATGTTAATTCTTTTAATCATACGGATTTTCTCCTTAGGTCTACTTAAATGGTGAATTATATTTTTTTGCATGTGGATATCCAATTGTTCCAATACCACTTGTTGAAGTGGGTACTCCCATTTTGCATTCAATTGCCTTTGTAATTTCATTGGAAATATTTTTTAAGTATGAAGATATAAAATACATCTATAATAATAAAAGTGTAATATGCTAATTAGACCAGACAGCCAAACAACCTTCCAGACGACCTTCTGGATGAAGCCGGGGCTGCGAGGGCCGAGGCAAGCCACCTAGCATGAATTTCATGCCTCAGGCCTCTAGTTTAAATATAACATGCATGAAGTATAATTTATAAGTCTCCAGCTTGATGGATTATCGCAAAGTGAACACACTGTGTAACCACCCCATTGATCAAGATTAAGACATAATTAGGACTTCTGAATCCCCACTTATGCACTCTCCCAATCAATACCACTCCCAAAGTTAATCACTCTCCTGAGTTCTACATCATGGATTGGCCTTACCTGTTCTCTTACTGTACATAAACTAGAGGCCCGGTGCGTGGGGTCCCTCAGCCTGGCCTGTGGATTGCGAGAGGGTGCAGGCCAGGCCAAGGGACCCCATTGGTGCATGATTGGGGCTGGGGAGGGACCGCAGGAGAGCTCCAGGGCATGTCCGGCCTGTCTTGCCCAGTTTCCATTGGGGTCGATCAGGGATGGCTGGCTGGGGAGGGACCACAGGAGGTTGACCAGCCAGGGAGGGACCATGGGAGGGTTCCAGGGTGTGTCCAGCCCGTCTCGCCCATCCTGATTGGCTGGACCCCAGCAGCAAGCTAACCTACCGGTTGGAGCGTCTTCCCCCTGGTGGTCAGTGCGTGTCATAGTGACTGGTTGAACAGTCGGACACTTAGCATATTATGCTTTTATTATATAGGATAGAATCATGCAGTATATACTCTTTTGTGTCTGAATTCTTTTACTCAGCAGTATATCTGTGAGATTTATCTATGTTGGATATACAGTTGTAATTCATTATTTTCATTACCATACAGTATTTCACTGAATGACTGGGCCACAATTTACCTATTGTATTGTTGAGAGACATTTTTATTTTCTCCTCAATTAAGTATTAGAAATAGTGCTGCAGTGAACATCTCTGTACTTGTTTTCTAGAGCACATGTGCATGATTTTCTCTAAGGTGTGTACCTTTGGGTAGAATCACTGGATCATAGTGTATGCAAATCATTACCTTGAGTAAATAATGGCTAACTGTTGCCCCAAGCAATTATACCAGTTTACATTCCTACTAACAGTGTGTGAAAGTTTCCATATCAAAACAATATTATGGTATTTTAGCCTGCTTAATTGTAACCTCTCTGGAGGGTGCATAGTGGTGTCTCATTGTGGCCTAAATTTTCATTTACCTGAGAGCTCATGGGATTGAGTACATTTCATTGGTTACCTGAGTGCTAATGAGGTCAAGTACATTTTCTCATGTTCATAGGTCATTTGGTTTTTCTTTTTAGTGAAGTGCCTATTCACATCTCTTGTCTCTTTTTGTGTTGTTTGTATGATTCTTACTGATTTGTAGAGGTTATGTTCCAGAAAAGATCCCTTTATCACTTGTGAATATTACAGATAATTTCCCCATCTATAGCTTCCTTTTTTACTGTTGTACTTTCAATCCTATACGTTTATAACTGTTTTCCTTTAAAAATAGTGCTTTTCATGCCTTATTTTAGAATTCTTTCCATATCTCAAGACTATAAAAACATTTTCCTATAGTATTTTCTAGACACGTTATTGTGTTACCTTTCACATTACATTTACAATTTACCTGTAATTGATTTTTGTGTATGGTGACTATTAAGGGTTAAATGTCATTTCCCCTCATATAGATATCCAGTAACCCATCCACATTTATTTGAAAAGATCATCCTCTCTTCCCACTGTTTTTTAGGCCAACTCTGTCATAACTCAGGTGTCCATACATATTTGGATTATCTTTTTAGTTCTACTGGACTATTTGTCTAGCCTTGTGCTAATACCACATTGTCATATGTGTTCTATTATTTAAGGGAATAGTTTTTTTCTACTGATTTGTGATTTTCCCACAAAGTAGGTCACTAACTTGATATGAAGTAGGCATCCTATAATAAGTCATCATCATGAACTGGGAACCCAAACAGAAGTTTCCCTAAATCCCATCCTCATCACCCAATGATAGCATTCCAGTATATAATGAATGTGCAATTACAGGGACTCGTGACATTTGAGGATGTGGCTGTGGATTTCACTCAGGAGGAGTGGCAGTATCTGAATTCTCCACAGAGGATCCTGTACAGGGACGTGATGCTGGAGACCTACAGCAACCTGGTCTCTGTGGGTAAGAATGACTTCCTTGGGTAATTTTGCTGTTTATGATTATTGTGTCCAATAAAGGGTATTTATTTTCTCAATTTTGGGAACTTTCAAAGTCTCTGAACTGTTTGAAGAGTTTGACACTGAATCCCAGGGATCAGAGTACCTTTTTCTCTCTCTGCTCTCCTGACAAGGTATTTGTGAACTCAAAACCCAGGCAAAATGATTTGACTTAACCATTGTGTCAAGCGATAGGTCCCTTGTGCTGCCCCAAACTTCACCTTCCTCTTTCTCAGAGGCTCTGAAGACCAAGGAGGTATTGTTGTCTTTTCTCATTAGCAGGGAAGCAAGCTACTAAACCAGATCTCATCCTCAGTTTGGAGGTAGAAGAGCCATGCCTGGCAGAAGGAAAAATCCCAATTTGGAGCTTTCCAGGTAAGTGGGATTGACCCAGGCTATGGGGACAGGAGGTCCCAGCTTGTCAGTCAGGGCTGAAGACCTCTGAAAGGGCTTTCAGGGATATCTGGGAAATGTTGTGGCCTTTATTGTTGTTTGAGGACAGGGACATGAACTCCACAGACATAAGACTGATACCACTCCCCTGTCCCACACCCACCAGACCACTCTCCTTAAGTTGGTGCTCACCCACAAGTTTCTGTACAGCTCCTTTCCCCATATATGCGTGCCCTGTATATGCCAATCTCCTGCCCTGCACTTCTACCATTCGCATTTCTCACTGTCTTATCTAAAGACAGGCTCACATTAGTCACAGGCCTAGGCTAGTGCTGCAATTTCAGATTGAATTATCTGATTCCATTAAGCTTAGATATTCCTATCAGATTTATTCTCCTAAAACATCTAGATTATCTCTTTTAAACGATATTTTTATTGATTTCAGAGACAAGGGAGAGGGAAAGAGAGAGAGATAGAAGCATCCATAATGAGAGAGAATCATGGATCGGCTGCCTCCTGTACACCCCCCACTAGGGATTGAGCCTGCAACCCGGGCATGTGCCCTTGACCAGAATTGAACCCAGGACCCTTCAGTCCTCAGGCCGGCGCGCTATCCACTGAGCCAAACCAGCTAAGGCTTGATTATCTCTTTTTAAAAAGAACTTTATTGAGATAAAATTCACATGCCATAAAATTCACTCTGAGGTACACAAATTCAGTAACTTTTTTGTACATTCATAGAGTTCTGCAGCCATCACTTTTATTTTTTTTTATTTTATTGACTTTTTTTTAGAGAGAGAGGAAGGAAGAGAGAGAAAAAGAGAGAGAGGAAGGGAGAGAGAGAGAGAGAGAAAGAGAGAGAGAGAGAGAGAGAAAGGGAGAGAGAGAGGCTGCCTCTTGCACGTCCCCACTGGAAACCCAGGAACATACCTTGACCTGAAATCAAACTAGCAACCGTTTGGTGTAGGGGACAACACCCAACCAATTGAGCCACATGGGCCAGGGCTGCAACCATCACTTTTAGAGCACTATAATCACTCCAAAAAGAAACCCCTATCTCTTTAAAAAATTTTTTTAAAATATATTTTTATTGATTTCAGAGAGGAAGGGAGAGGGAGAGAGAGATAGAAACATCAATGATCAGAGAGTATCATTGATCGGCTGGCTGCCTCCTGCATACCTGCTACTGGGGATCGAGCCCGCAACCCAGGCATGTGCCCTTGACCGGAATAGAACCCAGGACCTTTCAGTCCATAGGCTGATGTTCTACCCACTGAGCCAAACCAGCTAGGGTGAAACCCCTATCTCTTATTAGTCACTCTCCATTCCCTGCCCATCCTCTGGCAACTACTAATCTACTTTCTGTCTATGGTTTTGCCTATTCTGGACATTTCATATAAATGGAACCATATAAAAATATGGCCTTTTATGTCTGGTTTCTTTTACTTCTTGGCATGTTTTCAGGGATTGTCCATCCATATTGTAGCATGTGTCTGTACTTCATTTATGGCAGAATAATATTCCATTATATGTATACTAGAGGCCCAGTGCATGAAATTCGTGCATGGGAGGGGGCTCCTCCAGCCCAGCCTGCACCCTCTCCAATCTGGGACCCCTCGGAGAATGTCTGACTGCCTCTTGCAATCCAGGACTGCTGGCTCCTAACCGCTCGCCTGTCTGGCTGCCTGATTGCCCCTAACCACCTCTGCCTGCCTGATCCCCCCTAACCCCTCTGCCTGCCTGCCTAATAACCCCTAACTGCTCCCCTGCTGACCTGATCACCCCAACTGCCTCTGCCTCGCCCATCACCTGGGACCCAGGATTCCCTCCTCTGGCCGGGCACAGGCACCAGACCCGGGATTCCCTCCCTCTGGCCGGCCACAAGCACCCAGGACCCAGGCCAGCCATAGCCCCAGGGGACTGTGGACGGGCAGCTTCACCTGGGCCACAGCCACAGGTTCTAGCTCCCGGGACCACAGGGCGGGTGGCTTGTCCCTCTCCCGGGCCGTAGGCGCAGGCACAGGCGCAGCCACTGGCACCCGGGACTGTGGGGTGGGCGGCTTGTCCCTCTCCTGGGCCGCAGGTGCAGATGCAGCCACTGGTGCCTGGGACCCCAGGGAGTGTGGCTTGTCCCTCTCCCAGGCTGCAGGCACAGCCGCTCGTGCCTGGAACCGTGGGGACCATGGGGCATGCGGATTGTCCCTCTTCCAGGCTACAGGTGCAGGTGCAGTCCCTGGCACCTGGGACCACAGGGTGGAAAGCTTGTCCCTCTCCCAGGCCACAACCTGGCTGGTCCCCATTGCTCTCTCACAAACTCATTTGTGCCTGGCTGGTCCCCATTCCTCTCTCTCGAGCTCACTTGTGTCTGGCTAGTCCCCATTGTTCTCTCGTGAGCTCATTTGTGCCTGGATGGTCCCCATTCCTCTCTCCCCAGTGTTGAGTGTCTGAGCTGTTACGGTGTGATGGCATGATGGCATGAGGGTGTGACGACCATTTGCATATTAGCTCTTTATTATATAGGATACCACATTTTGTTTTTCATTTGTTGGGACATTTAGGTTGTTTACACTTTGATGGTTCTATGAACATTAATGTAGAAGTTTTGGTGGTAATGTATGTTTTCATTTCTTTAGAGTACATACATAGGAGTGGAATTGTTGAACAGTGTGATAACTGTGTGTTTAACATTTTGTGGAACTGCCAAACTGTGTAAATATCCTGTTCCTCAAAAATTTTTTATTCAGTGGTTTTAGCATTCCATGATGATTCTTGCCTAAATCAGTTTTTACTTATATGGTTGAAAAATGATGAATTTTCTATCATTCCTTCTACATTTGTATGTTGGTAGTCTTCCCTTATCCCATCTCCATTAATTAACTGGCCAAATTGGCTTCTGAGTCTTTGGTAGGTTCCTTGCTTTCTGTTACAAGATGTTCAAGGATCATTTTACATATTTCCTTCCTCTGACCTGAAATCAGACACTTCTCCTATGAAGCCCCCATTTCTTTTTCGTGGTAAATGTTGTGAGACCACAATTTAGATGTTAGGGAATGGTTTCTAAGCCTTTAGGAACTATGTAAAAAATATATTTTTAAGAGAAAATACATCATATATTAAAGTTGGTATTTCCAATCAAATTCTGGAGTTAAACATTTTTAATTAATATTACATCTAGTGATAGTGTTAATCTAAAAATAAAAGGCCAAAGTGAGAGGCAACAGCATTTATTTGAGGTAAAAAAGAATAGGTATTCAGTACAAATTGGTAGTTACAAAATAGTCATGGGGATGTAAAATACAGTATAGGGAATATAATCAGTAATATTGGAGTAACTATGATTGGTGCCAGGTGGGTACTGGAAATATGAAAGGGAACACTTTGTAAAGTATATGATTGTCTAACCATTATCCTCCACATCTGAAACTAATAGAAAATAATATTGAATGTAAACTGTAATTGAAAAATAAATTTTAAAGTTCTTAAAAAGAAGAATAGTTATTCGGGAAGCATTGATTCAGGCAGAAACCCAAATAGTGTTCTGATTAGGAGACAAAGGCAAGGGGTATTAATGACAAAGGGAAGGGAAACAATCATATCAGTAGAAAGAAGTAGTTTCTATAGGTGTAGATAAGCTAACATAGTGATGCTAATTCTAAACAATGTTTTTAATTTTCAGTCCAGTAGTTTGGTAGTAATCAGTTCTGTAGTTATAATATCTGCTTTTTTATTATCTTCCCAAGCTGTTGTTTGAAATAGTGTTGCCTTAGGCCCAATACAAATGTTTGGGGTTTTTTTGCCCTGTTTTTAACATCCAAAGGTTTGAGGAGTAACATGTGCAAGGCAGTTCCTCCAGGATAGCAGCTCCAACTCCATTTTAAAGTGACCCCACTTATATTATTTTTTATAGTAGTATTGTTAGTGTTATTCTGAGACTGCTGAATATAGAGGGTTGAATCAGTTGAAGTAATCATGTTGGTGCCATTGAGAATCAAGAATTTTCAGCATGGTTGTTAGGAAATATAGATGAGAGGATATTAGGGAATCCTTTTCTATTGAATTTTGGTGTCTGATTATATAAAATTTGCAAATGTTAAGGAACAAAAATTCAAGCGAGTAACTTTGAAGATGTAATTGACAGTAGTAAACAAGTTGTGAATCAGAGAGCATTCCATCTAGCAAATAGAAGGGAGCTTCAAGGAGTTGTACAACATGGTAGGTTTTTATAGGTAGAAGGAGAGTGGGACAAGGAGGTTTAAAAGAGTGTATTATTTCAGGTAAGGTCAGGTCACTTTCCCTTAGGGGAAGGGAGGGGATCTTACTAGGCAGATTACCTCATTAGTGTTGATTAGGAAATTCTAGAGTGGTTTTAAAATTCCACTCTTGGGAGAGACTGAGACTGCAATTATTAACCCTTGGTGGGGCTTACTACAAGTGACTCCAATTTGGATCTGTTGTTTCTTTTTAACACAAGTATTTGTTTGGTTCCAAAGTCAAATCTAGAGAACAGGTATTTTCCAAGAAGTCCAGCTTCTCTCCCTTCTCCATCCCACTCTCTTCTTTCCTTCTCCCTATAGGTTAACACTAGCATCAAATGTAACCATTTATTAAAATTTGAAAGTGTATCTTTCCATTGTTTTTCACAGGACCCTATATAAATATGTATTTATATATTTTTCCTTCTTCAGAAAAATGTTAGCCTACTCTGAACAGTTTTATTAACTGTGTTTTTACTTGCTATTCAAGAACATGTGAATTACATTGAGATATTCCTTATTTTCAATAGTAATATATTGGCTCTTAATCATAATATTAGTAGTAGTTGTAGTAGTAGTAATAGTAGTAGTAGTATATTCATTGTTCTAGTAAACATTTGAAAACACTTTTTTTAAAAAAAAATTGAAAACACTTCTTATGTGCCATGTATACTAAGTAATTTAATTATATCACTAAACATTTGGGTGGGCACTGTTATAATTCCTGTTTTCTAGGTGGGAAAGTAAGACACAAATAGATAACTTGCCTAAGTTCACAGAGCAAGTGAAAGGCTAAGGCAGGCTTTGATCCTGGGCTAGAGAATCCATGACCCTAGCCCAGTGGTTGGAAAACTGTGGCTCGCAAGCCACATGCGACTCTTTGGCCCCTTGAGTGTGGCTCTTCCACAAAATACCGACTTCTGCGCATGGGCCACGAAGTTTCAATCGCACTGTACATGCGCGCCCGCACATGGTATTTTGTGGAAGAGCCACACTCAAGGGGCCAAAGAGCCACATGTGGCTCGCGAGTCGCAGTTTACCGACCACTGCCCTAGCCACATGTGCTATGCTTCTTCTTACCACATAAGAAGGTCCTATTCAGTAGATACTTGGTGGAACTTGGGTCCCATCAGATGTATTTTGTAAATGCTTTTTCTGTGATTCTAATGTTCACTCCTAGTTAAGAACTAGTGCTTTGCAATCCAAAGAAAGGATGTCATAGGAAGAGAAACCACTGCTGCATGATCCATTTTAAAATTCAGTATTATTATTATAAATGTTATCCTTATTAAATTTAAGTGGTTATATGAGTAGTTTAGTTATTGATACTCTTCTTTCATCTTCTTTGTATGAAATTTTTCATATAAAGTTTTAGGAAAAACTTCAAAAGTAAATTTCAAAAATGACAAAAAATTAAGTAGATGTATAAAAAGTATTTACCATATTTTATTGACTTCAAATACCATTGGATTTTTAGACATATCACTACGAAAGAAAAATTTCCACCAATTAATTTTTGACATGTCATTGATTGTAAGGTGATTCTGGATTCAGAAATGTTAAAATGTGGAATGATATTCATCTTGTGACTGATGAAATATGGTATATTAAAGACAAGGCTTTGAAATTTTAACTGAGTGGTACATACAGATGAGCAACTACTTTAGAAGTTAATAAAAATTAGTTATAGAGGTAAATTTTGAAAAGACTGAACTTCTTGAAAGTTATCCAGATTTTGGGTATAGAAAAATATGGAGGACTAGGCTCTGTGGGTAATGGAACATGAGGAAGGGTTTGGAGTTAATAATAGGCATAGCTTTTAGTAGAAATAGTATAGATAGGAGTAGACGGTGGTGTTGAAGAACTGTGCATGCAAGCTTAGATAGATACAAAGGTGAATCCAGATTGGGCAAAGATTTTCAGGTTTTTCTTTGTTTTTGTAAGGCTAATTATTCTAATCTTTCATTTTCTGATAATGAATTTAGGATTTTTATAAATAGTGTAAGTCAGGTAGAGTTAAGAGTTCATATGGTAGCCCTGACCGGTTTGGCTCAGTGGATAGTGTCAGCCTGTGGACTGAAGGGTCCCGGGTTCAATTCTGGTCAAGGGCATGTACCTTGGTTGCGGGCATATCTCCAGTGGGGGGTGTGCAGGAGGCAGCTGATCGATGTTTCTCTCTCATCGATGTTTCTAACTCTCTATCCCTCTCTCTTCCTCTCTGTAAAAAATCAATAAAATATATATATTTTAAAAAGTTCATATGGTAAATGAAGATAAAGGGTGATAAGGTCAACAAAGTAGATGGAAATAAGAGACGATGTAAATGTAGCCTTAAAGAGGTGTCAAGGCAAGATTGTTCTCAGTAACAAAAAAGCTAGTAAAAGAACAGGATTTGATGAACAGGATTTGATGGTCAAGTTTCTCTCTACAGGAACTCTAATAAAATGTGCTAACAGTATCAGCTTTCATATGGCAGGGCATTTATAAAGAAGGTCCATTCTATAATATCAGAGTATAAAAATGGTTTATTCTATTTCTTTCTAGAAGAAACCTGCCAAGTTGATGAACAGATTGAGAGGCAGAACCAGGATGATGAAGATAAATGTTTTCTGATGCAAGTTGGATTCCCTGACAAGAAAACAATTACCACCAAGAATGACCATGACTATAATGAATTTGGAAACACACTTTATATGAATACAAACCTTGTTGCTTCAATACAAAGACCCCATAAACATGAGTCATTTGGAAATAATATGTTAGATAATTTAGACTTATTTAGTAGAAGCTCTGTAGGAAAGAGACATGATAATGGAAGTTCAAAATTATTATTTCATACTGAATATGCGAAAACAACTCCTGGAGTGAAAACTTATGGATATAAAGAGTGTGGGAAGACCCTCAGGAGAAAGAAAGGTCTTAGTCTACATCAGAGAATTAAAAATGGAGAGAAACCCTTTGAGTGTACTGCATGTAGGAAAACCTTCAGCAAGAAGTCACACCTCATTGTACATTGGAGAACTCATACGGGAGAGAAACCCTTTGGATGTACTGAATGTGGAAAAGCCTTTAGTCAAAAATCTCAGCTCATTATACACCTACGAACTCATACAGGAGAGAGACCCTTTGAGTGTCCAGAATGTGGAAAAGCCTTCAGAGAAAAGTCAACTGTCATCATACATTATAGGACTCATACAGGAGAGAAACCCTATGAATGTAATGAATGTGGAAAAGCCTTCACTCAAAAGTCAAATCTCATTGTCCACCAGAAAACCCACACAGGAGAGAAAACTTATGAATGCACCAAATGTGGGGAATCTTTCATACAGAAGCTTGATCTAATTATACACCATAGTACTCATACAGGAAAGAAACCCCATGAATGTAATGAATGTAAGAAAACTTTCAGTGATAAGTCAACTCTTATTATACATCAAAGAACTCATACGGGAGAGAAACCTCATAAATGTACTGAATGTGGGAAGTCTTTCAATGAGAAGTCAACTCTCATTGTGCATCATAGAACTCATACAGGAGAGAAACCTTATGAATGTGATGTGTGTGGAAAAACCTTCACCCAGAAGTCAAACCTTGGCGTACATCAGAGAACTCATTCTGGAGAGAAACCCTTTGAATGTAATGAATGTGAGAAAGCATTCTCCCAGAAATCCTATCTCATGCTACACCAGAGAGGTCATACAGGAGAGAAGCCCTATGAATGTAATGAATGTGAAAAAGCATTTTCCCAGAAATCATATCTCATTATACATCAAAGAACTCATACAGAAGAAAAACCCTATAAGTGTAATGAATGTGGCAAAGCCTTCAGAGAAAAATCAAAGCTTATTATACATCAGAGAATTCACACAGGAGAGAAACCCTATGAATGTCCTGTATGTTGGAAAGCTTTTAGCCAGAAATCACAGCTCATAATACATCAGCGAACACACACAGGAGAGAAACCCTATGCATGCACTGAGTGTGGCAAAGCCTTTAGAGAAAAATCAACATTCACTGTACACCAAAGAACTCATACTGGAGAGAAACCCTATAAGTGTACAGAATGTGGGAAAGCCTTTACCCAAAAATCAAACCTTATTGTACATCAGAGAACACATACAGGAAAGAAAGTCCACGGGAAAGGCCACACCCAGAAGTCAAAGCTCATTATACATTAGAAAATAAATCAGTAGTGTCTGTTATGTTCCCTGAAGGAACATTTTGTTAGCTATGTTTTTTAAGTATGTTCTGACTTCTGGTTTAAATATAGGGATAAAGTCAGCCTTTTTTCCCATCTCAATCTTTACCCAAAAGCTACAGGGAGGCAAAGAAACAGAAGTGTAATCTCTGTATCTGACAAAATTAGGAGATAGCTAAAACCCCAATGAGAAGGTTGCCACAGGCAGATGTGGGAGATCTCCAAGGACAGAGAATGCTCAAGGCTGCAGATGTGAGACAGCACAGGTAAGGACGCTTAGTAGAGGTTCATATACAAACACAACAGCAGTAACCCAGAGCATGGGTAGGTGGGAGGTAGGATGTTTCCTAGATCCATTTGGCATCTGAGGAGAGATAGGCAGGGGCCTTGACAAGGAATTGCTCAGACTAATCATATTTAGTAGAAACTAGTCTGTACTAATCGGATGAGCAATTGGTGAGGGTTGGGGCAAGAGAAGGCAGTGTTTCTTGTGACAAACCCTACAGCTTCCCCTATTTACTGACTCAGAGAATCCAAGTCTGAAAGAACTACCAAATGGAAAAAATGCCAGTTGCAAGAGAACCTCTGATCTGCCTTAAATGTGGCCCTGGTTTCTTTTTCCACATGAACTTCCAGCAAACACCATGTCCAGGAAAAACTCTTATTTAAAGAGGAATGATTCCAAAGTAACCAAAACCACAAATGTGCATGGCTTTTCCAGCAATTCCACTTCTAGGAATGTATATACTCCTGCATATACAAAATGATGAACGCACAGAGGAATTCACTGCTGCACTGTTGTGAAAACAAAAGGTTGGAAGCTGTAGATATGACAACACCAGGGGTCTGGTTCCTGAAATCCTGGTATGTCGACTCAGCAAACTCCTAGGTAGAAAAAAAGGAATAAAATATATAAAGAGAACTTTTGAGGACGCCATTTAAGAAATGATGTGGGATGCTCTCCAACGTACATTATTAGGTGGAAAAACCAAGGTGCAGAATAGTGAGTATAATGTGCTACCATTTATATATAAAAAGGAGAACATATGCTAAGTATTTAGTGTGTATGGATAAACTGTCTCTGGAAAGATAACACAAGAAGCTGGTAACCATGATTACCTCTGGGAAGGAGAAGGGGAAGAGGGTAGCTGGGGGGATGGAATTGTTAGGGAGACAACAGTATATCCTTTCATAACTTTTGAAAATTGTACTGTGTGGAAGTACTACCTTTTCACTCAATAAATAAAACGTTTAAAAAAGCATGGTTTGTTCTATTACTATTATAATGAAGTCAGATTCTAGATACAGGATTTCATAACATTTAATAGAGATATGCTCATTGTGGAGTTTTAGTTTTCTAGAGTGAATAAATTGAGTAATCAGAACAATAGATGTCCACTTGGGGGTGCAAATAATGTGATTCTCAGATCAGCTGGGACCACATTCTGTAAACCTAAATTAATTGAGACTGGTACACATTTCTTATTTAGTATATGTAGTGACATCTGTGAAAGTATCCTGTACTAAAGCCTGTCAATGGCTTTCCACATCTTAACAAAATGATTTGAATTACTTTGTGTGTGTGTGTGCATGCGCGCGCGTACACACACACACACACACACACACACACATGCTTTTAACGAGAGATATAAAACATAAATCTACAGAGAAGTTGAGTGCTCACCCCTCAGGTCACACTACTGCTAGTGGCTGCATTTTCCAAGGTGAGGGACAGATTGAGAGCCGTGGTCTGAATGGGCATGGCCAAAGACTGTGTAATAGCACATCTGCTCCATAATAAGAAGTCCCACTTTGTGCATGACAGTCTGTGGCCCTGATGCTTCTGAGGTGGAATTGGACAACCCAAGCTATCTAAAACCTGGGCCTGGTCAGTGTTTCTGTAAGAAAATAAGCCATGAGTTCACTTTTTTATGAGTGATGTTAAGTCAAGACATGTCATATAGGGTGAGGCAAAAGTAGGTTTACAGTTTGTATGGAAAATACAATAATTAATAATACAAGAATAAAGTTGTGTACTCACAACTGTAAACCTACTTTTGCCCCACATTATTTAGTGCCTTTCCATGGAGAAGAAAGTTTGGGGGGAAATGTGGGGTTAACTTCCTTGCTCCTTGTGCAGTCTGCTGAGAGAATGCCTAAGGGCACTAGAAATGAAACATTTCATTTTCCTGCTGATAAAGAATATTCCTGGGTTTCAGGGCCATCAAAGATCATCCTGAGGTGGGGTGGGGCAAGTCAGATCTTGCCATGTAAGGTTAATCTTGGACTCCTGCTTCCTGGGACACAGATAAGACAAAGAGCCCAGTTTAAAAACGGGCAAAATATTTTAAAAGATACATCGATCAAGATGATATACAGATGGCAAATAAGCACAAGATACTCAACAGCATTAGTTCTTAGGAAAGTATAAATTGCAACCACAGTGGGATACCACTTCACTCTTACTGAAATGGCTAAAATTACAAGGGCAAAGAAATGAAGCGAATGGACACTTACATACTGCTGGTGGGAATGTAAAAGGGCACCACTTTGGAAAAACAGTTTGGTAGTTTCTTACATATTTAAATATATACTCACCATATGATCAAACCATTCCTAGGTATTTACACAGGAGAAATGAAACTACGTCCACACAAAGACTTGTATATGAATGTTCATATCAGTTTTATTTGTAACATCCAAAAACTAGGAACAATATAGATTTTTATCAACACATGAATGGATAAACAAATTTGGTATATCTATGCAATGAAATACCACCTATCAATAAAAAGGAATACAGATACATGTAACATCACAAATGAATCACAAAATAATTATGCTGAATAAAAGAAGGGAAAAAATACCCACCAAGAATGCCTATGGTATAATTCCATTTATATAAAATTGCAGAAAATGCAAACTAATCCATAACAACACAAAACAGATCAGTGGTTGCCTATGGATGGGGGAAGGGTGTCGGGAGGGAGGTTGGATGACAAAGGGGCATAAGGAAACTTATGCGGGGTGATAGCTCATTTCTTTACATTTTAATTTTTTTCCTATGGATACATTTTTTGAATGTTCATTATTTTTGATGTAGTGTTTTTCCCCTTTTACTGAATTTAATGGGATAACACTGGTTAACAAAGTGTGATAGGTTTCAAGTGTACAATTCTACAATACATCATCTGTACACTTAGTGTTCACCACCCCAAATCAAGTCCCTCACTATTTATCCTCCCTATACCCTCCTCCACCTCCCTGCCCTATTTGATGTATAATGAGATATGATTTCTGCCCACCTCTCCCCCGCCCTCAGGGAAATCACCACACTGTTGTCCTGGTCCATGAGTTTTTTCTTTTTTCTTATTTTCTCAATCCCTCCACCTACCCCACCCTGACAGCTGTCAGCCTGCTTTCTATCTATAGCTCTGTTCCAATAAAACTTTATTGTACTGAAATTTGAATTTCATATAATTTTTTACATGTCATGGAATATTACTCTTCATTTATCAACCATTTAAAAATGTAAAAACTGCCGAAACCGGTTTGGCTCAGTGGATAGAGCGTCAGCCTGCGGACTGAAGGGTCCCAGGTTCGATTCCGGTCAAGGGCATGTACCTTGGTTGCGGGCACATCCCCAGTAGGAGATGTGCAGGAAGCGGCTGATCGATGTTTCTCTCTCATGGATGTTTCTAACTCTCTATCTCTCTCCCTTCCTCTCTGTAAAAAATCAATAAAATATATTTTAAAAAATAAAATAAAATAAAATAAAAAAATGTAAAAACTACCCAGCCCTCATGGATCAGTGGTTGAGCATCGACCTATGAACCTGGAGGTCATGGTTCAATTCCAGGTTAGGGCACATGCCTGGTCTGTGGTCTTGATCTCCAGTTGTGGACATGCAGGAGTCAGCCAATCAGTTATTCTCTCTCATCATTGATGCTTCTATTTCTCTCTCTCTCTCCCTTCATCTCTGAAATCAATAAAAATATATATTTTTAAAAAGAATGATATGAAACAAATATTGAGTAGTATTAAATGGATATAGAAGGTGACAAAGACATATTACATATACATAATTTATGTCCTGAAGAGGAAAATAGATCAGAAAAAAAAAGTTCAGCAAAATAAAACTTCCCTGAAATAAAAGGCTTGAATCATTATTGGTACAGCTTACTGTAACCAAGGTAAAATCAAATTAACAAAAATAAAGACCAAAGCATATGTTTTTAAAGATCCCTAACTTCAAGCATAAAGAAAGAATCATGTGGCAGAAAGGTACAAGGAAAAAAAGAGCAGTTTAGCCTAAGAATTCTCAGTAGCATCACTAAATTTTAGAAGAGAAACATTTACCAAGTTCTCAGGAAAAGAAAGTATAACATTAACAATCAGGGTTCAATTAAGTGGATTCACTATGAGTATTATGGAATAAAGAATTTTTACATGAATTAAGCCATACACAAATGTGGGAGTAGCTGAGGAAGTTAAGGTATGGAAGGGGGAGTTGGGAGAAACATTGGCATGGGTAGATAAGTCAGAGTTTGCAGGAAACTCTTAGAAGCCAGGCACATCCAGCTGCTGATGTGAGATTATTAATGGGGAGCTAATGGAGAAGTCTAAGAGAAGCCTTTGCCTTTGTGGGTCTTCAGCCAAGTATCTGGTGGTAAGCCTGGGCCACTGTTGGTCAGCAGGCTGTGAGACGCAAGGAAGGGCTGAATAGAGTGGAAGAAAGTGAGGAAGAATTAAAACCTTCTAGGTACCCCTATATCTGTAGCCCTGAATCTAATCTTAAACTTTTAGAGTAATGATGTTTGCTCATTCACTGTGACCTCTTAAATCTCTTGCAATTTCTACTTTTGGCCAACTCTAACCTGGACTCCAACAGGATTCCTGAAAACACATTTTCAATAGAGCAATACCTAATACTTTTTTCTATCAGAAAAGTTTGATGGTGAAGTAACTACCTGAGCTCAGAAATCCCTTCAACTTTGCTGCTGTTTTCTTTAGTTAAATTCACTTAAATAATGTTCACCAAAGTCAACCCTGACCTCCTTGTCACAAAATCCAAGAACCAGTTTTCCATCCTCATATAAATGAACCTCTGGCTGCTCCTTCCCACTGTCCTCTATAAACAAATTCTTCTCAAATGTTGGTAGCACAAGTCTTGGTACTAGGCCTGCTTTTCCTGTTATTCCAAACATTTTCTTTAGGTAGTTGGATGAGGTTAAGATACCACAAACAAAGGTCTCAAATCCTGCCCAAGTACAGAGAGTTGTAGGGGGACCTAGGCAGCCTCAGGAAGTGGGATGTATCTAATATTCATCAAGAACTTCTTTCCATACATAGTTCTAAGTACTTTATACAGATAAATGTATTAATTTATTATATGGGTTGAATTATGTCCCTCCACAAAAGATACATTGAAATCCTAACCCCCAGTACATCAGAATATGACCTTATTCGGAAAGAAAATCTTTGCAGAGTAATCAAATTAAAATATTGCCACTAGGGTGGGCCTAATCTAATGTGACTGGTATCCTTATAAAACGGGGGAAGTCGAACACAGACAGACACAGAGAGGGAACACGATGTGAAGACACATAGGGAGAAAATGACCTGACTGAAGTAATGCATCTACAAGCCAAGAAATGCCTGAGGCTACTGAAAACTTGAAGAGATGCAGGAAAGAGTTCCTGACACCTTGATTTCAGACTTCTGGCCTCCCAAACTGTGAGACAATAAATTTCTGTTTTTTTAAGCCACCTACTTTGTGGTACTCTGTCAAGAGACAAAGCAATCAACAGAGTCAGACTCAGGTGACACAGTTGTTGGAATTATCAAACAGGAAATTTAAAATGAAAATAGTGGAAAATGTGAACAACAGACATGAACAGATGGAAAATTTCAGCAGATAACATAACTGAGATGAAGAATGCCTTCAATGAGCTCACCCAGTAGACTTAACAGAGCCAGGACAGGGGTTAGAATCAGTGAACTTGACGATAGGTTAATAGAAATTATCCCAACTAAAACACAAAGAGAAATAAAGATTACAAGGGGGCATAGATGTAGGGGTGCAAGAAATCTGTAGTGTTTTTCAAGCTAACATAGTCTATTTTCTGGTCAAAAATAATTTTATTTACATTCCATACCATGCAACAATATGTTCACCCCATTCCAAGACCTCCAAATGTCTCATCCCAAATTGTGGCACGATGTTCAAATCCAGGACACCAAGTCTTCTGTATCAGGTGCAGAGGTGGCTGAGGCTCTCTGAGTGCAGCTTCTTAATCTAGAGACCTGTGAGCTAAATAACAAGTTATATGAACAACCCCCCCAATACACACACACACACACACACACACACACACACACACACACACACACTATAATGGTGACATAGGAACAGAATTAACTGCAATACACACTCCAATTCAAAAAGGGGAGAAAGAAGAGGCACATATCTGTCACTGCTCCATAACAATTCTTGAAATCCCACAGAACAAATGTTTTCAAGTCTTCCTGCTTCAGGGGTAGATGTTTTTTTATTAGGTCAAGTTCATCTGGGAATGGCTCCCCAGTCCATTTTAATATATTGTTCTTGGGTCTTCTCTCTGAGACCTCCGTCTTTTCCCATTAGAAATGGCCCATGTTTGCAGCCGAGTAACTTTCTCAGCTTCATTTCTATTCACAGAAGCTAGAGAGGAGAGTCCAGGCACCACTTTTCATTCTGGATTGTTTCAGTCCCATTAAGTCCAGCTTGGAGGCAGTTTCACTAGTAAAACTCTATTAAAAACTTTAAATGTTTCCTATGAATCTGGTTTGTATTTCTCTACTTTGAGCAACGTGTCAGGCTACTGGGGACGATGTCATGAAGTCTACAGAAGCCATTTAGCTTAGCTTAGAGGGTCTCCCAAATACCAACTTAAATGTTTCATGCATTTTTACAAAGGGTCTTACATCTACACTCATGACTTGATCTCTACCCTGAGGCCATTTTCACTTTGAAAGTATTTTGGAGACTGGAGATGTGAAAGTTATTTTCTAACCCAGCAAGTAGAGGGGTTTTTTTTCTTCTGAATTCTGCTTGTAAATGGAATAGTCATTCTCTTAGTTCATATCTCCTTTTTTACCTTATTATATGAGCTCATAGAAATAAACAAACTTCCAACATTCTGTTGGAAATCTATTTAGCCAGATCCAGAAGTTCATTTGATACATTCTCTATTTTCCCACAGAGCATGGTGACTGTTTTGCTTTTTCTTTACTAAATAACATGGGACGCCATCTTTCCCAGGCTTTCTTAACAGTTTTCCTCCAAGTCCAAAGTCAATGCCACATGTCTTGTGTTTTAGTACAATACCCCCCTCTCCCCCCCGCCGCCGATCATACACTTTTAAGTATTATTAGCATTTGCTGTGCAACAAAGTACCCTAAAACTTAGCAGTTTAAGACAATAATTATTTTATTTATCTCACAGTTCTCCATGTTTGCTGGGATAACTGATATGGCTCTTCTTATATGGGCTGGATTGGTTGGGGTTGGAGACCAAGGAAGGCCACACTCCCATATCTGGTAGTTGACCTGAAGGGCCTCAGCTAGGCTGGCTCATCTTTGCTCCATCTGGTTTCTCATCCCCCAGTAGAGTAATCTGAGCTTCTTCATATGAAGGGCTTAGAATTCCAAAGAGTAGCAAGAGAGTAAGCCTCAGGTAAGCTTTTTTCACACTTCTTCAGCCATTTCTTGAATCTCTTCACTAATGTACAGTGGCCAAAACAAGTCACATGGCCAAGTTAAGAGTCAAGGAGTAGAGAGGGAGCTCTACTTCTTAATAAGAGAAAAAACAGAGTAACATTGCAAAGGAGCATGCAAAAAATGACAGGAGAGACCTGTGGCATTTTTGCATTGTTCCACAATTAAAAAGGATAAAAACACAATGTCATGGGAACCAGTATGAATGATAGGATTACATTTGTGTGTTCATGTAAAATTATATCTTCAGATGAGTGTATATATAAAATCACAATGACCATAAAACTGTGAATTCATGTGAGAGAAAAATTCAATAGAAGACATATTTAATAGATGCAATTATATTAAATTTAAAAAATGAACTTCAATGATTCCTCCTGCTGTGCAATGTGTTCTGCCACAACCTACAGAACTGAGAGTAGGTCTACACATCAAATATGTTATTTTGTTGTCCTACTTTTCATTTTGTTGTCACTTTAAATTGTTTAATATAACAGTAAACATGACTAACATTTACATAATTTTACACATTCCATCTGTAAAGAATTTGGTAACAATTTGCCTTATAATACTTTCTTTACAATAGGAAGGCTTTCCTCCTAATGTATCAAACTGACATCATTTTTCCTAGTATGAATTCTATTATACAGGGTGTCCCCAAAATGTATACACACGCATTTCTATAGATTCATTTAAATTTTGGAGATGAACTGTATGTTAATAAACACTGATTATATCTCAAAGTGTGTATACATTTTTGGGACACCCTGTATTTTGTGAGGCTGTGCAAATATGAAAATTCCCCTTCATTCAATGCATTCTAAGAGGTTATCGTCTAAATAATTTTTTTTACCTCAAGTGAGAGAGCCTGACGAATACTTTTTACTATGCCATATATTCATATAGGGTCTCTCTTGGATGGATTTTATAACATACCCTTATACCTGACTTCTGTGATAAGGCTTTCTCATTTTTAAGAGACAGGGTTACTTTCATGTATGAATATTACGATGCATACTCAGAACTGATTTCTGAGTAAAGCCCTTTCCACAGTCACTGCATTTATAGGGCTTTTCTCCAGTATGAATTGTCTGGTGTTTATTGAAATTTGACCTGTCAGTGAAGGCTTTCCCACATTCTGCACATATATATGGTTTTTCTCCTGTGTGAATTCGTTGATGTACTTTGAGATGTGGTTTCTTGGAGAAGGATTTCTCACAGTCAGGACATTTATAAGGCTTCTCTGTAGTATGAATTCTCTGATGTGTAATTAATTCAGACTTCTGGAAAAAAGCCCTCCCACAATGAGCACAAACATAGGGTTTTTCTCCAGTATGAATTGTCTGGTGCTTATTGAAATTTGACCTGTCGGTGAAGGCTTTACCACATTCAGCACATATATAAGACTTCTCTCCAGTATGAGATTTCTGGTGAGTATTGAGATTTGACCTGTTGGTAAAGGCCTTCCCACACTCAGCGCATATATAGGGTTTCTCTCCTGTATGAATTCGTGTATGCATCTGGAGTTGTGACTTAGAAGGGAAAGATTTCTCACAGTCACTGCATTCATAAGGCTTCTCTCCAGTATGAATTCTTTGATGTGCAATCAAGTGTGCCTTCTGGATGAAGGCCTGCCCACATGCAGTACAAATATAGGATCTCTCTCCTGTATGAATTCTCTGATGCATCCTGAGTGTTGATTTTTGGGTAAAGGCTTTCCCACACTCACTGCATTTGTGGTGTCTCTCTCCAGTATGAATTTTCTGATGTACACTGAGAGCTGAGTTCAAGGAGAAGCCTTTCCCACATTCACTGCATTCATAGAGTTTCTCTCCGGTATGGGTTGTCTGGTGCCTAAGTAGAGATGACACCTGGAAAAATGACTTTCCACATTCACTGCATGTATAGGGTTTTTCTCTAGTATGAGTTTTCTCGTGCATAATTAATTCTGAATTCTGGATGAAAGCCTTCCCACATTCAGTACATACATACAGTTTTTCATCTCTATGAACTCTCAAATATATGCTGAGTAGTGGCTTTTGTGTAAAAACATTTGCACATTTGCTAAGTTCATGAGGTTTTTCCATAGTATGAATTCTCTGAGATGCAAAGAGGTGAGACTTCTGGGTGAATATCTTCCTAAATTCAGTACACATATTTCCTTTTTCCCCAACAGGAAACTTCAGGTTGTGACTGAGTGCTTGTTTGAGGTTGAGGACTTTCCCACACTGATTACATTCACAAAATTTCACTCCTGTCTGCATACTTTCATGGTTAGTAAAAGAACTCTGTGTGAAATTTTGACTGTGTCTATTAATTTTATCAATGTTCTTTGTTGCTTTGTTTTTAGAATGAATATGTAAATCTAAATCATGCTTAAAACCCTTTTCAAATGAGTCACATTTATGGGGTCTTTTCTGTGAGGCAATAATATGATTTGGGCTTGGATAAACAAATTTTCTGCTGTCTTTATATTCATAATGCCACTCCGTATTCAATAGTTTCTTATTTACGAATGTAGCATGACTCACAGTTTTGCTGTGTTTTTCCTGATATCTTTTTATCTGTTCAGCATCTTGCCACAGTTCTAAAATGGAATACAATGAATCGTCTCTTATATCTTCACCCTCCATTTCACTATGAAATGAAGCTTTCCCAGAAATTCTTTTTTGTGAGGTCTTAATCCCAAACTTCCCATCTAAAAAGAGAAAAAAAAGTAAAATCGACACAAATAGATAGCAGAAGATTAAAAGATACATATAAGCTAATCCAAATTGAACACAGGGAAACCAGCGAATCCAATGATGACAATGAAAATAATTACAGGAAATACATATATAGCACTTATTATGTGTCAAGCTCTTGCACGACACTTATGATGTTCCAGGCATTGTTAAGATATAAATATGAACTCATTTAATCCTTTCAAAAGTTCTATTTTCTATTATTATTTATCTATTGTAGATAAGGAAAGTAAAGCTCAGAATGGTTTTATACATGTAATTTGTCATAAAACATGGTTATAGCTCAGTTTGGGTAGGAGGCTTGAATATCAAGTAGGGTGGACTGAAGATTAAAAAGACAAAGATTTTCAGGAAAAATATTGATGGAGAGCCTAGGCTGGGAGGGGGTGACTCAGAGTCTAAGTCCTCATTAGCTTTAGATTCTAAATCTTCACTGATCTTGTTGCTTCTTGCTATTAGCAACAATACCAAATTTATGAGATCAAAAAAACAATTTCACTTGCTGAGGGAGTATATCCTAAAATTTCTCATCACAAGGACAAGAACATTTTTTATTTTTGATATCTATATGATATAGGTGTTAACTAAATTTATTGTGGTAATCATTTCACAATGTATGTAAGTCAAGTCATTATGCCTCTAGGAAAATTATTGCAGTGATAGCCATCTTGACCTATACAAACAATAAATGGATGTTTATACTCCAACTCTCCATCATGTGTAATTGTTTTCTATTAAACACAACTCCCATCAAGAGCCGGATATACGCTCTTTTCAGAGACACATGGAACATTCCCAAAGATAGACGATTTGCTGAAATCATACAGAGTGTAATCGCAGAATACAACAGAATGAAATTAGACAAAATAAAGGAAACAAATTCCTTGAAAAAAAACCACAACTTATTATGTATGACAAAAGATGAAACGGAAAATTGAAAGAGCCCTATGTATATTAAAGAAATTGAACTAGTTATTAAAACTTTCCCATTTGGCAAACTCCAGGCCCAGAAAGTCTTGCTGGTGAATTCTGTGAAACAGCATAAAAAGAAATAACAATCTTACACAAACTATTTCAGAAAATAGAGAAGAGAACTCATTCACAACTCATATTATGCGGCTAAGTGTAACCCAAATATCAAAACCTGACAAAGACATTGCAAAAAAAGAAAGAAAGAAAGAAAGAAAGAAAGGAAGGAAGGAAGGAAGGAAGGAAGGAAGGAAGGAAGGAAGGAAGGAAGGAAGGAAAGAAAGAAAGAAAGAAAGAAAGAAAGAAAGAAAGAAAGAAAGAAAGAAAGAAAGGAAGGAAGGAAGGAAGAAAGAAAACTACAAACCGGTATAACTCATGCAAATATTTTTAAACAAAATATAAAAATAGAATCCAACAATATATAATAAAGGTAATATATATAATAATCACCAGTATTTGTCTCAGAAATACAAGGTTAATTTAACATTTGAAATCAATCAATAAATTTACCATATTAACAAAATAAAAACAAAAACTCATATGATCACTAAAGCATTTGACAAAATTCAACACTTAACTATGATTTTTGATAAAAACTTCTTTAACCAGCTAGGATTAGAAAGGAACTTATGTAACCTGATAAAGGATAGCTTAAAAAAACTACAGCTAACACCATACTTAATGATATGAATTTTTTGCTCCTAATATCAGGAACAAGGCAAGCATGCCCACACTCCCACTTCTATTCAACATCAAACTGAAGGTCTGACTTAGACAGTGAAATAAGGAAAGGAAAATAGATAAAAAGATTGGACAGAAAGAAGTAAAACTGTCCCTAAAGTGATGAGTATTTACTTACAAGGAACCTAGAAGACAAACAACCCAATAAAATGAGGAAGATATGTAAATAGACACTTCACACAAAAATGTACAAATGGTCAATAGCACATGAAAAGATATTTAACATCATTACTCACCAGAGGAATGCAACTTAAAATCATAATGAGATACCATTACATATCTACTACAATAGTAAAAATTAAAGAGACTGATGACAGCAAGTGTTGGCGAGGATGTGGGGCAAGAAGAATTCTCAGTTATTGTTGTTGGAAATGTAAAATGGCACAGCCACTTTGGAAGACAGTTTAGCAATTTCTTATAAAGATAAGCATATACCTATTTTATAACCTGGCAACCCACTCCTAGGTATTTACCCAAGAGAAATAGAAACATATGTTCACACAAAGATACATTAAAATCATCACTGTAGCTCATAATAACCAAATAATAACTCCCTGTCATCAACAGGGATATAAACAAATTACCATATATTTATACCACGGAGTAGTAGTCAGCATCTTAAAGGAACAAACTAGTGATATACTCAATAACATGGGTAAAACACAAAATCTTTATGCTGAATGAAAAGAGCAGACAGTATAATTTCCTTTGATATAAACATTAATAAAGACAAATATATTCTATAGTGACAAAATGAACGTCAATAGTTGCCTGGGGCCCCGGATGGTTTGGCTCAATGGATAGAGCGTCGGCCTGAGGACTGAGGGGTCCTGGGTTTGGTTCCGGTCGGGGGCACATGCCTGGGTTGGGGGCTCAATCCCCAGTAAGGGGGCGTGCGGGAGGTAGCCAATCAATGATTCTCTCATTATTGATGTTTCTCTCTCTCTCTCTCTCCCCTCTCTCTCTCTCTCTCTCTCTCTCTCTCTCTCTCTCTCTCCCTCTCTCTCCCTCTCTTTCCCTCTCCTTTTCTCTCTGAAATCAATAAAAATATATTAAAAATTTATTTAAAAAATAGTTGCCTGGGGCTCAAGTGGTGATTAAGCATTGACTACAAGGGACATGAAGGAGCATTTCTGTGTGATGGAATGTTATATATTATGATAGGGGTAGTGGTTATACTAGTGTGTACCTTGTCAAAACTCATCAAGCTATATACTTAAAATGGATACACTTTAGTGTATGTAAATTATACTTTAATAAGTGGAATCTAATGAACAAAATGAACTAACAAGTAAAATAGAGACACATTCATAGATAAAGAGCAGGCTGATAGTTGTTGGGGGGAGGGTTGGGGATGGAAGAATTGAGCAAAAATAAAAAAGAGAGAAAAAGCTCATGGATATGGACAACTGTGTGGTTATTGCTGGGGGTGGGGTGGGAGAGAGGTAGAAGAGCGTATAGGGGGATAAATGGTGATGCAAGGAGACCTGACTTGGGGTGGTGAACAAACAACATAGCATACAGATGATGTGTTGTGGAATTGTGCACCTGAAATCTGTATAATTTTGTTAACCAGTGTCACCCCAATAAATTCAATGAAAAGAAAAGAAGTAGATTTTAAAAGAAAAAAATGATATGTGACTAACCACAGTCAGAATATGGAAGAGAGGCATGGAGTAGGTGAGGTGGAGATGAGTGAGGAATCTGCAGGTGATATATACAAAGAGAGGAGGTGGATGTGAGGGCGATCTGGCTGCGACATCTGTCACCCCATTGATCGCCAGGGTTGATTCGGCTGATCTGGCTGGCTAGGCGGGTGTCCCCCTCCTCCCTCACCGATCCATGTGCGTCCCTCCCGAAGCTGCGCACTCGGTCAAAGAGGACGACCTTCCCCCCCCCCCCCGCCCCCCCGAGGAGAGGACCGGTCTTCGGTCAAGGGTATACGAGTAGCTGCGCTCCCCTGCTAGAACCTCCAAACAAGCTCTCAAAGAGAGGAGGTGAGGCTGGTTGCAGGTGACAGTTTATTGGTATCTTAGAATGAGAAGACAAAAGTGAAAGAAGAAGGAAATAAAAGGGTACTGGGAAAAATAGGAGTGAGGCAACCAACTAAAACCATTAAAACCTGAATGTATATGATAATATTCTAAGACCCTGGGGTTGGGGTTAAATAATGAAGCATAAAATGTGATGGAAGAAAAGAATATCCAAGAAAGCAACATCCATAGTGAAGAAGGCTGGCATATGATCCAAAGTATGGGAATTGCAGCAATTCTCCTGGAGGAAACCCCAAAGAAAACAGCTGATGACAGTATAGAAAATAAAGACAGAGCAATTTGGTACCTGAGAGGCCTACGTTATTTATTTTCAAGCAGTTTCTAAAATTTAAACCTTCAAGAAGCCAGCAAAGACACCAACCTCTCTGGGGGGAAAAGTATTTCCATGTCTCCTTTCTGCCTGGATCACACTCACTGACCTGCACAACTCTGATGTGGGGTTTCTCCCTCCAATATCCATGGCTCCTCTCCTTGCTCCAACTTGAAGATGACCTCTGGTTTGGGAACTTCATACCCTGTTAATAGGACATAATAGAGAACTGGGTCCAGCTAATTGTTTTCCATTTGTTCATTAGAAAAGAAACCACATTTGATTGGGGAAACACTAATAATCACAGAGGTGAAAGGGCCTGAAGAATCTCAGACCAATCAGGGATTATATCAGCATGCACTTAGGATATCCCAGAGCACTCAGCAGCTGGGAATGGAAATGGTTCTGTCTTAGTTTCCTCGGGCTGCTTTAACAAAGTACCAATAACTGGCTGACTTAAAACCACAGAAATTTACTGTCTCCTACTTCTTTAGGCTAGAATTCTGAAATCAAGGTGTTAGCAGGGTCATGTTCTCTCTGGATGATAGGAGGGAGAATCCTTCCTTGCATCTTATAGCTTCTGGTGTTTGCTGGCAATCTTTGGCATTCCTTGGGTTATAAATGCATCACTCTATTGTGTTTTCTCATCATCTTCCCTCTATGAGTATCGATTTCTGGGCTCTTTTTTTATAAGGATACCAGCTATATTAGATTAGGGCCCACCCTCATGACCTCATTTTAACCTGATTACCTCTATAAAGACCCTATTCCCAAATACGGTCATATTCTGCGGTATTAGGGGTTAAGACTTCCACATATCTTTTTTGTGGGGGGACACAATTCAACCCATCAGAGCTTGCCCTCCGAATCCCCCAAATTAATATTCTTCCCATGTTGAAAATACACTAATTACATCCCAATGTCCCCTAAAGTCTTAATCATTCCAGCATCAACTCTTAAGTCTAAAATCATAAACTCAGAGTCTCAGATATCATCATCTAAATCACTCAAATCAGTTATGGGTGACACTTGACTATGAGTCCAAAATCCAAGTGTCAACAGGGCTATCCATGCTCCTTTTGAAGGTGTTAGGGAAGGAGCTGTCTCATGCCTCTCTCCTGGTTTCTGGTGGTCTCGGCATTTCTCGGCGTATAGATGCATCACTCCAGTCACATGGCCATCTTTTCCTTGTGTGTCTTCACATTGTCTTCTCTCTCTGTGTGTGTCTGTCTCTGTGTTTAAATTTCCCTTTTTTATAAAGACACCAGTCACAGTGGATTAGGACCCACCCTAATAAACTCATTTTAGCTTGATTACTTCAGTAAAGACCCTCTTTCCACCCTAGCTGGTTTGGCTCAATGGATAGAGCGTCAGCCTGCGGAATGAGGGGTCCCGGGTTCGATTCCAGCCAAGGGCACGTGCCTGGGTTGCAGGCTTGATCCCCAGTGGGGGGGGGCGTGCAGGAGGCAGCCAATCAATGATTCTCTCTTATCATTGATGTTTCTCTCTCCCCCTCTCCTTTCCTTTCAAAAATCAATAAAATATATAAAAAAGACCCTCTTTCCAAATAAGGTCACATTCTGAGGTACTGAGGGTTAGGACTTCAACGCATTTTATTTGGGGGATATAATTTTACCCACAATTGTCTCCTCACTGGTTTCATGGGGTATCAGTGCTTACCCACTGAGAGCAGGTGGCTGTAATTCTCCAGCATCACCTCCTGGTACAGGCGTCTCTGAGTAGAGTTCAATTGCTGCCACTCCTCCCTGCTGAAGTCCACAGTCACATCCTCAAGTGACACTGAGACCTGTAACAACACAAGCTTGTTCAAGGTGACAAGGTCAGCACTGGGGGATAGGTAAAAGATAGAAAATAAGTTTCAATGCCTATTAAATACCTAGTTATATAGAATGTTATGTAAACTACAAACATCAAATCCTAAATTTCTGCTATTGTGTACAATAAAAAGATTACTTTTGTATAAAATTTGACCTTGATCCTATTTTGTTGCTCATTTTAATAGGAAATTTTATAACTTTTACAAAGAAGCATGTATATACTTTTTAAAAACTTTACATAGTTCCCTCTACTGATGCTTTCATTTACTTTAAAAAATATGGCCATTTTCTTTTGATGCCTTTTTATTGCTCATTTCTAATTTAATTTCATAGTGGTCAGGAAATATATTCTGTATGATTTCAACACATGGTCTATCTAGGAGAATGTGTTACATGCCCCTGGAAAAGAATGCATATTTATCTGTTAGTGGGTAAAAACTGACAAGGAGATGTTAAAGTTTATATGACTATGCAAAGGACATAGAATAGCCAAAGCAAGAAGTAGTATGGAGTATTTATACCGTGTAATGTTAAGATTTCCTATAAAGCTACAATAATTCAGACAAGGTGGTACTGATGTAAATACAGTTAGATAAATCAATGGAATGTAATAGAGAGTCCAAAAACAGGTCTGCACATATATTGATGATTGCTTTTTTACAAAGATGCCAATGTGGTTTAATGGGGAAAAGGAGAGTCTTTTTTAAAAATGTGCTGGACTAAATGGTTATCAGTATTGAAGAAAAAAACTTTGACCCATACTTCACACCACATATAAAATTAACTCCAAAATTAAAGGAAATTAAGTTCCTGTATGAATAAATTGCTTTTATGAGGCCAAAACTCATACAGATAACAACTATAAGCTCTGAACAAAATATAAAAAACCATGATCTGAAGATACTGAAGAGCAACCTAAGTTAGGCATCTACTGGAAGAGAGTTAATGCAAGAAGGGATGACACGGGATGTGTTTACTATTTTTACAGCTTTTAGTTTGTAAATAGGCTCAGTCAGTCATGCAAGGTAACTAAAATTCCAATTTTTAAAACCTTCACTCTTATTGACTTAAAAAATCAAAGGAGTGTTTTGCAATCATAACGACCACTGGAAAGTCAGGGGGGAATCTGGACGGAGAGGAGTGCCTAAATTCTGTATAAGAACTCGGCCCAAATATCTGCTTAACCACTTAAATGAACTAAAATCTGAGCTATCACACACTACAGAGAAGATAGTTTCCACTTTGAGTCCAACCACGAGTCAAGTGCTTACTAAACAAAACAAAACAAAAAAGCAGCAATCTTTAAGGGAACTAAATAGAATAAAAAAATTTCTACAATACATGATTTACAACAACCAAAATACAATCCAAAATAACATAGAAAGGGAGAGAAAGGTATCAAGAGAAAGAGAAGAGATTCAAGAGTAAAAGCAGAGACTGACCCTGAGATGATCCAAATGCCAGAATTAGGCTTTAAACTAGTTGTGTATAAATATGCTCAAGAACATAAGGACAACTATGTTCATAATAAATAATAGGATAGTTCAACTGAGGAATGGGAACTATAAAAAAGTAACTAACTGAAAAGTCTAGAACTGAAAAATGCAATCCGAAACTTAAAAAATTCCTTGGATGGACTTACCAACAGAATGTAGATAACATAACAAAAGAAAGAGTTAATGAATGTAAGACAGACCAACAGAAGTTAACCAATCTGAAAAGTAGAGAGAAAATTCTTGGAAAAAGTAAACAAAATAATAGTCTTAGGGATGGGTAATACAAATCAAAAGATCTAATATACATGTAATTTGAGGTCCAGAAGAAAGGGTACAGAAAAAGATGTTTTTAAAAATAATGGGCAGCATCAGCAGATGAGTGGATTAAAAAACAGTGGTACATCTACACAATGGAATACTACGCCGCTGTAAAAAAGAAGGAACTTTTACCATTTGCAACAGCATGGATGGAACTGGAGAGCATTATGCTAAGCGAAATAAGCCAGTCGGAGAAAGATAAATATCACATGATCTCACTCATATGTGGGATATAATGAACAACATAATTTGATGAACAAGAATAGATCGATCTAGAGACAAATGGTAGGGGAAGAAGGGTTAGAGAGCAACCAAAGGACTTGTACGCACGCATATTAGCATAACCAATGGACACAGACACTGGGGCAGTTGGGGCTTGCCCGGGGTGGGAATGGCTGGGGGGGGGGGTCAATTGGGGGAAAAGGAGACATATGTAAAACTTTTAGTTTAGACAATAAAAATAAATAAATAAATAAATAAATAAATAAATAAAATGGGCAGAAACTTCCCAAATTTGGCAAAAGACATACATTTACAGATTCAAGAAATCTGGCAAACCCCAAGCAGAATAAATCCACAGAAAACCATACCTAGGCATACTGTAGTCAAACTTTTAAAAACCAAAGAATAAAAGATTTTGAAAGCAGCCAGAAAACAAAACAAAATGACATATTATATACATGGAAACAGTGATTTAAATGATACTTTTTAAATGCTAAAGAAAATAAGTGTTATCTGGCTGGGCAAAGCTATCAGTTCCATAATTAGGTCTCAAGGCCTAAGAATAACTCTTCATGGCTTTTGGTTCTGCTCTCTTGGTTCTTGTTCCCACCTTCTAAGTCATACTTCCTTTTACAGGAAAGGTTAGCAGAAGAGTTTTCTGAGCCTGCTTCCTGCCAGTAGAATTTTGGGAATCCAAAGTCTTCCTTTCATTTTGTCTAGTCTCTATCCCAGGGGTCCTCAAACTACGGCCCGCGGGCCACATGCAAATACAAATATTGTATTTGTTCCCGTTTTGTTTTTTTACTTCAAAATAAGATATGTGCAGTGTGCATAGGAATTTGTTCATAGTTTTTTTTAAACTATAGTCCGGCCCTCCAACGGTCTGAGGGACAGTGAACTGGCCCCCTGTTTACAAAGTTTGAGGACCCCTGGTCTATCACTTTCACTCTAAGATGACAGTGTTTCTGCTGATACAGTTTGCTCTAATATTTTATGGTTTGTCTATGAATCTCATTGGGTTTACTCCATTAGACAAAAGCTTCAGCCATAAATCTCTTTGAGATGAGCCATTCTCTACCTTGGACTCCTGCTGAAAGGAATGACGGACAACACTCTTAAGCTTTCAAGAAGCCCTCTTGTACAATTGAGAAGATCTGTAAGTTACCACCTTCACCTCTTCAAAGAGTTTTGATGGCTAAATGCTCTGAGCCCTCACTGCTCAGATTATTGCCATTGCTTTCTGGATCCACCATCACATTGGACATGGCAACACATGTATCCTCACAGACTGGGCACAAATGAAAACACTGCTTTTCTGATGCAGAAGCTACCACGATATACCAAATCTGTGACTCCTTCCACAAGATGACCCGTTGTGATGAGAAAGTGCACACAGCATGAAGTGTGGCCCACCTGCTCCTGGCCAACTGACTACATCACACTTCAAGCCCCTCTCTGATTTGCATCATTGTTTATGTTTTCAGGTTAAAATATTGCTGTTTCAGTCTGCTCAGCCCACTCCAGCCACACAACTGTGGATCTTGGAACTAACCTGTAACAAGTTTTCAGCTTTCTGAACTATTTGTAGCCTAAAAATGGAACACCTTTCATTGCACAAGCCATGTAACAATGGGCTGATAGTTAAGGTATTTGGTAGACTTCCACACTCTCTCCCATCCACTGGCATGTGGTATTGTTAAGCATTGGAATGGCCTCCTCAAAAAGGAATTCAAAAGGATTTCAGACTCTGCCTCTCTCACCCTCTCCTGCTCCATACATGCTCTTTAGTAAGGCAGTTTAATCCATGAATATGGTTGTCCCCAGAAAGGAATCATCTCCTTTCAGCTGCTCCCTGGGTAATGATCAGAACAAAAGGTGTTAGGAGTTATATGGACATATTTTGACAACTTGGGATCCTGTCTCCTTGCTAACCCTCTGGGAGGCAAAGCATCCAGAAAGAAGGGTGCCTAAGAGATTTCAGTTTAATTCTGGTTGTCACCTGGATTCTCTGGTTGGATTAACATTGCCCTAGAATAATGTGGTCGGCAAACTCATTAGTCAACAGAGCCAAATATCAACAGTACAACGATTGAAATTTCTTTTGAGAGCCAAATTTTTTAAACTTAAACTATGTAGGTAGGTACATTGTTATTAACTTAATTAGGGTCCTCCTAAGGCTTAGGAAGAGCCACACTCAAGGGGTCAAAGAGCCGCAGTTTGCCGACCACGGTCCTAGATCATAAAGATAATTGCTTCTTGGTTCAGTACACTTGCTTACTGTGTTCCCCTTTAATGACCCACATGGGCCAAAGGGTAGAACATAACAGATCTCTGTAAGCTTATTAAAATGGCCTTGTTCCTCTTGCATCTGACTCATTGAAATGAAAGGTCTGGAAACTAGTAGGAGATGATTGGGGTGGGGGTGAATTTAATACTGACTAGAATGAACCCTAATGATTTTGTGTCAGCAGAGGGTGAGCAACAACACCGAAATTGAAGAAGAAACACCTTAAACCCCAGGAGGTACAGGAAAGGGAGGGGCATTAATAAGCTGTCTTTCTGAACTACCCATGGAGCCTTCATCACAAAGAAAAATGCCTTAGTACATCTTCCCCAAACTGCTGCAAGGGCGTAAAATTTACCTGCCAGGTCTGCCAATACCTGCATCCACAAGGTCATCACCATTCCCCTTAAGCTTGCTGAGAAGTCTGTCAGAAACAGCTGGGAGGGCCCCAGCTCCTGCACCACACACAAAACACCCGTCAACACCTTCAACTGTCTGCTCTCCTTGAACCACTTGCCCTAGCAGCTGCTCAGTCATTATGTGGGGCAGAAGAATATCATGCAGCTAGTGGCTTGGACATATAGGACAGGTTGGAATGAAGGCCTTCAGGCAGTCTCTCCAATAACAAGAACTAGACTCAAGTTTTCAAACAGAACTGAGGACCCTTAATGTTGAACATAACCTGAGCCCAAGTTAAGAAATCCCCCCACTCTTTTATGCTCTTAGAACCGACTTACCACAAATATCACCTTTCCCCTTATGACTCAGATAACATTTGCTGTCCACTCTTTCTCATAACCCCCATAAGACTCCTGGGGTTTACGTATGACAAGGCCAAACGCAGACCTTTCTCCTTTTATTGAACTTGCTGAAAGGCTAGACACAGACCCTCCAACTCCCCACTTTCTCATGAATGATTGAGGTTAGAAGTTAAACTAGCTAGCTAGACACAGAGATAAGCATTTCTTTTCTAGCTGACGGAGACTTCTCCTGAATGCAGAAACAATCCCACCTATAAATCTCCCCACGATAACTTGTCTAATCCTCAGTATAAAAATAAAAGGCAAAACCACCCTGCCGAGACACTCCGACTTTCACATCTGAGGTGCTCTCCCTATTGCAATAGCCTGAATAAAATCAATTTCCTTTTTTTGTTCAGTTTTGTCTTTAATAGTTAGAGACTATCAGCTGGATGAGAGGCCACATTGGAGGCACTCTCAAGCTATGTCTCCTGACTGCTGGAGGTCCCACCAATTGTAAACAGCACTTTCTTCTGGGGGGCGTCCTGGGATTATACTTCTTATTCAGAAGCCAGGCATTAACTTGCCTTCCTCCCCAAAACATGGTGATTTTCACCTTAAGGGTGGTCATAAGTGAACTGAACGTGTGTGAGGTGGTGATTGGTGGTTCAGGTAAACCATAAATGACTCTGGGGGTCTCTCTAAAAGGAGGCTACCTACTTGGTTGCTAGCAGGAGCTTCCTAGAAGAGTAAATGGCTTGCTAGTCATGTGAACCCTGAGGGCAATTATGCCTATGATAGGAATCATCCAATTAGAAAAGGTGGTAGGACATTTGTCCCTGATTGTATCTGAGGTGATCAACATAATATCTTGGCTCTGGAAGGTATTCCGGGGTCAGGCTCAGCTTACTGTCCAAACAGAGGATGAAAATGCCCCCCTTGGGCCAAGGCAGAATCTGTGCAATCGCTAATACATCCTGCTGTACCTCGATTCCCACACCAAGGACAAAGGTCAATAGAGAAACTTAGGCAGAAAGGCACCTGGCTTTGTAAGATAAACATTGATGGCTTTAAAGGATTTGTTCAGCTCATTGAGTCTGGAACCCCGGATGTCACAGTTGAGCAAAATACTGCAGACTGGCCTCATTCTGCCACTTGGAGTCCTGTTGATTAAGTGTTGCATAAGATAAATTGAACAGCCTGGGCTCTCATCTCTGCCAGTCAGATTAATCAGAGTAGCTGACAGAGTAGTATACTCATGGGAAATTGTGCAGAAGGCAAGACAGTGCAGAAATGAAGGGTGGATATTGTTGGGAGACAATTCTCAACAGGTCTCTTGTGTTACAGTGAGCATTTCTACATGTCCTGGTACATCAGCCAAGGATTTCTGCTCATATTTCCCTAAGAGAATTGTTTCCTCTTATGGTCTACATATGCTCTGATGAAGAAGGCTAAGATGTTTTCCAAAGAGATTATGTCAATTTACACTCCCACCAGCAGCATATGAGCTGCTGGTATGTGCTGATATGAGCCTATAAGCTGCTGATATGGCTCCTCATCCTTGCTACCACTTGTCATCATCAGTCTTCTTAATTTTAGCCATTCTGGTGTGAGTGTAGTAGTAGTACATTGTGGCTTAAATTTGGCACTTCCTGATGACTAATGAGATTGGGCACCCTCTCAGGTGTTTGTTAGCCATTTGGATATCTTTTTTTGTTACATGTCTATTCAAATAAGGCATGTGACTACTGTGTAGTCTGTTTTTTCTTACTGTTTTGTTGTTCTTGATATATTCTGGCTAGAAGTCCTCCATTGTCTATCTCTTCTACTCTGTGGCTTGTACAGTGTGTGTGGGGGAGGGGTAAGGGCAAAGGGTGGGGGTGGGAACTGAGTGGAGGGAAGCTATGGGGGGAAAAAAGAGGAACAACTGTAATAATCTGAACAATAAAATTTAATTTTTAAAAAATCAAGATAGTAACTATCTTTGGGAGTAGAGGGACTCTGAAATTATATGGTCACTTCCAGCCGTGGGCAAACTATGGCCCGCGGGCCGGATCCGGCCCGTTTGAAATGAATAAAACTAAAAAGAAAAAAAAGACCGTACCCTTTTATGTAATGATGTTTACTTTGAATTTATATTAGTTCACACAAACACTCATCCATGCTTTTGTTCAGCCTCCGTCCAGTTTAAGAACCCCACTGTGGCCCTCGAGTCAAAAAGTTTGCCCACCCCTGTACTAGACTGACATAATGAAAAATCAGTGAGCTGTAAATTTTTTGGTATACTTTTCTGTATGTATGTTATATTTCACAATAAAAATATTTTTTAAAATATAGGCTTAATCTATAACCCATTGACTCCACCCCTATATATATAGTAAAGAGACGGGTATACACATGTACATGAAAAGAAACAAACAAAATTTTTTGTTCATGGTAGCATTGTTTATAATTCATATTACATTTCACCAAAATACTTAACAATAACAAAAGCTGATAAAAATTTGTTTAGTAGGCTGCCTTTTGTGAAATAAAAGGAGAAAGTAAGAATGTGTTCTCAGCTGCTTTTATTTGCATAAAGGAACCCTAATCATGCAGTAAACTAACCTAGTTATATGTATTAGACACAGGTGAGCAGATAAGAGAAAGATAAATGAGAATTTAGACTAGTAGATTTTTTTATATCCTCACCCAAGGATATGTTTTTATTGATTTGAGGGAGAGAGAGAAACATCAATGTAAGAGAAAATAATCAATTGGTTGCTTCTCACACTCACCCCGACCTAGATCCAATCCACAACTTGGATACGTGTCTTGACTGAGAAATGAACCCACAACCTTTGGGTGTATGTGATGATGCTCCAACTAACTGAGCCACCCGGCCCAAGTTTAGGCTATGTAGATTTTTATATTTTTGAATTTTATATATTTTCATTTTTGAGCTATGTGTCTATATTGTCATTCAAAACTAAATTAAAAACTATTACTAATATTTTTAGTGATGAGATGCTGCATCCATGAAACAAAAATAGCATTCTATTAATAGGGAATGTTCTGAAAATAAAGAGCTATTTAAAATAAAAATATGTAACAGCATTGAGAGACACAAAAGAAGATTTAGAAGATAAAGTGTTCCAAAAAACTCTTAGAAAGGAGAACAAAAGAGAAAGAAATGGAAAGCAGGACAAAGACTAAAAAAAGTAGGAGGCTCAACAACTGAATAAGAATAGTTTTTTGAAAAGTAGAGAAAATGACTAGACTGGAAATAGGCTTTTAAAATTCTGCACAAAAATGATTTCCAACCTAGAATTCTATATCTAGCTGAAAAGATAAATTTAGTATCAGAGTCAAATAAATATATTTCCACCCTGGCTGGCATGGCTCAGTTAGTTGAGTGTTGTCCCATGCACCAAAAGGTTGCTGGTTCAATTCTCTGTCAAGGCACATAACCAGTTTGCAGGTTCAGTCCCCAGTTGGGTGCATGTAGGAGGCAGCTGATCAATGTGTTTTTTTCTCTCTCTCTCTTCCTTTCTCTCCTTCTAAAATCAATAAAAACATTTTAATTAATTAATTAATAGATGAATACATTTCCAAGGCACTTATTACTTTTTTATTTCTATAAATGTATTTCTGCAATTATATATATTAAATAAATATAATTTTGCATGACATTTTCAGACATACAACGTTTCGTAAAATCCACCTGTCATGTATCCATTTTCAAGGATAGACTGGAGGATGTGCTCCCACAAAATGAGGATGTAGATCAAGAAAGAGGAAGACAGAGGATCCAATAAACAAGAAAGAAGACATAGGATCCCCAGGAAAGGGGATGTGGAACAAGACAGAGGTGAAAAGGATTTCCTGGGGGATAACACAGGGAAGACACCAAGATAATAGCTGTGTGTGAAGTTGAGGGAGAAACCAGACCAGCAGCCTTCAGCAGGTCAACAAGTTCCAGGAAAGAATTCTCCACAGAGAAGACATTGCTGCCCTGAGTTGAGACCATTCCCACCTACTAGTAGCTGTGTGAAATTGAGCCAGATAGTTTTTCTCTATGCCCAAGTTTCCCTCTATAAAATGGGAGTAACAATGACACACACTTCTTGAGGTTGTTATGAAGATGAGTTAGTATATGTAGTATGTGTATAACAGTGCTGGGCACATAGTAAACATTATATGAGTGTTTACAATTATTGTCACTATGATTATTACCTATATGTTTGAATATACAGAGAGGAGATTTAAACAATTAGAAAGAATTTGAAGTTGAATTATTGATTTGTATATAGTAAAGCAAAGTAATGACTAAACCAGAAAACTGCTAATTCCAAGAAAAAGAAAAAGTTGTATAGAAATAGGCACCTTTTTGTCTTCCTTACCTCACAGGAGCTGTCTCTTCCTCCTGCAGTCAGGGCCAGGGACCACTGGGGAGAGCTCTGGTTGGCTGGCATGTTTACTCGGGCCTCAGCCCTCTGGCTCTCTTGCTGACAACTCTGCTCTTCCCAGGAGCCTAGGGCCAGGCAGGATCTGTGGACTCAACCAGAGCTTCTGGGACCAGAAGGAAGATCTTGTAGCCTTCACTGTGGGGTCTGGTCCAGGAGCTCCACGGAGACTCCAAGAAACCTGGAAAGACAGTGTTCACATGGTTAGTCAAACCAGCATTCATGCCACAAACGTTACTTGGGAGCACCAGAGTACGGCACTGGATGCTATGAGAATAGAAAATGTCCAGTCAACACCTATTCTAGTTATTCACAAAAATGGAATATGAGCGAGACCACAGATTTAGACTAAAATTAATGAAGGCTTAAATTCTAGCTCAGCCAACTTTTAGCTATGAGAATATGAAAATGTTTCTTTAGGTGTTTTTTTTTCAAACTGAGTCAAAACTATTTATCTCAAGGGGTTGTGAGAGTTAAATAAGATGATGTTTGTAAGACAGCACCAGACCAGACCAGATGAGCCCAAGTAAACTTTTAATTCATATTAGCAAGCATTGTTATTACAAGGAATCATCTAATGTGCAGAAGCAGATACCTCATTTAATTTGCACAACAATCCTATCGTCAATGTGTTGCTGCAATCATTATTTCATTTTATGCATAAAGAAACAGAAGTTTACAGATGTTAAGTAAAACCCAGTCTACCTGGTTTCAAAGTTCACATTCTCAATACTATATCATATGGTACCTGTTATATGGTAGGCTCAAAATAAATGTGGTTTTGTTTACTAGATGTTGAAAACATGACTTTGATTTGGAATAAAAATGTTAAGCAAAGTTTCTTAAAATAGAAGAGACAGATCAGAAGGAAAATACTAATAGGCTGAGACTAAAATTGTTTAATTGCCTCAAAAATATCCAAAGGTAAAACTGTTTCTCCTGTTGAGGGATGAGAGGGTTTCTCCATATCCAAGTTGAGGTATAATTTTATGCTGGTCAACCAATAGAGGCACTACAGATTTAGTCATTATTTTTAGGAAAGAGAAGGGGCAATATCCACATAAAATGAAGAGAAATTAAGACAACAAAAGTAAGAGATGAGATGAAGAGAAAACAAGAAAGTTAAATAAGAAGTAAAAATAAAAGGCATGAACAAGTTAAATTTTAAACACAAAAAGATGATGATGCACTAAAGAAAGAGAAAATATGCTTTCTTTTCTTATGCCCATGGTACTGTTATAAAATTCCATCCAATAACTTATCTACAAAGAAAATCTGGTAGATGTTTTAATGCTGAGAATTGACAGGCTACATTCTCTGATGTTCAATGCCATTAGTCATTAGGAAATGTAAATCAAAACCAAAATTTTTAATTCATTTGGAGACCATTTCATATCCATTAGGATAGCAAAAATAACAACAACAAGAGACAATAACAAGTGTTGGTAAGGAATATGGAATACACTGGAGTGCGCATACATTGCTGGAAGAATTGTAAAATAATTCAGGCATCCTGAAAAACAGTTTGGCAAAATGTTACCCACAGAGCCACCATAGGATCCAGCAGTTCCACTACTAGGTATCTACCCAAGACAAATGAAAACACATGTATACTCCAAAACTTGTATACAAATATCCACAGCAGTATTATTCATAACTAGAGGCCCGGTGCACAAAATTTGTATACTCCGGGTGGTCCCTCAGCCCCGCCTGCACCCTCTCACAGTCTGAGGAGCGGGCCTAAGCCGGCAGTTGGACATCCTTAGCACTGCCGCAGGGCTTCTGGCTGAGCAGTGCTCCCCCGTGGGAGCCAGCTGACCACCAGGGGGCAGCTCCTGCATCAGTGCATGTCATAGTGACCAGTCATTCTGCGGTTGGGTCAATTTGCACATTAGCCTTTTATTATATAGGACTAGACGCCTGGTGCACGAAATTCGTGCACTAGGGGTTGGGAATCCCTCAGCCCAGCCTGCCCCATCTCACAGTTCAGGAGCCCTCAGGTTATATCCTACTGACGGCTTAGGCCTGCTCCGCAGTCTGGCCACAGAGGCTCAGATCAAGCGCTGTGCGTGTGTCTGTGTGTGTGTATCCGCTGGGGGTCTGCCCCCAACTGCGTCAGAGGCTCGGAGCAGGCGCCCCGTGTGTGTGTGTGTGTGTGTGTGTGTCCAATGGGGGGGCTGCTCCCAACTGCATCAGAGGGCTCAGAGCAGGCGCCCTGTGTGTGTGTGTGTGTGTGTGTGTGTATGTGTGTGTGTCCACTGGGAGCCTGCCCCCAACTGCGTCAGAGGCTCGGAGCAGGGCGCCCCATGTGTGTGTGTGTGTGTGTGTGTCTGCTGGGGGCCTGCCCCGAACTGCGTCAGAGGCTCAGAGCAGGCGCCCTGTGTGTGTGTGTGTGTGTGTGTGTGTATGTGTGTATGTGTGTGTGTCCACTGGGGGCCTGCCCCCAGCTGCGTTGGAGGCTCAGAGTAGGCGCCCCATGTGTGTGTGTATTTGTGTGTGTGTCCACTGGGGCCTGCCCCCAGCCACGCTGCAGAGGCTTGGAGCAGGCGCCCCTCTGTGTTGATCTCTCAGGCTCCGGGCTGCTCCCAGTCCCTCCTCCTGAGCTGGTTGTGACTGTTATGGAGTCCCAACCTCATTTGCATTATATATATATATATATATATATATATATATATATATATATATATAATAGAACCCACCTAAATGTCCATCAACTGATGAATGGATTAACAAATGTGGTAGATCTATATAATAAAATAGTATTTGCCAATAAAAAGTACTGATATATGCTATAACATGAAAAAACCTTGAAATCATTATCTTACATGAAAGATGGCAGTCACAGAAGACCACATATTGCATGATTTCATTTATGTGAAATGTCTAAAATGGGCAAATACATAGAGACAGAAATTGATTGGAGGTTTCCTAGGGCGGGAGTGTGGGGTGTCATAAGTGATGAATGTCTGCTATTGTGTACAAAGTTGAAAATGTTCTAAAATTAGATTGTGGTGATTGATGACTGGGCAATTCTGTGAATGTACTTAATACCATTGAATCATATACTTTAATGGGTGAATTTTTATGGTATTGGAATGTATCTAAATAAATCTGTTTTATATATCTAAATAAGTCTGTTTTTAAAAGAAAAGAAATACAATCCAGGACCACAGTAGAAAATCAATACAGAAGCTATACAATTTTTACCAGTTGTCATGTAACACACTAAAGTTATATATAAAGTGAAATTTATAGCTTTAAATGGCTTTATTTTTAATTAAAAATAAATATAACAAAAAGAGCTATTTGCTCAACCTAAAACATTAGAAGTAGAAAAAACAAAATTAAGCAAACCACCCAAAAAAGTAGTACTCAATAAAAATGAAATTTTAAATCAAATAAATATAACAATAGGGAATTTCAAAGAAACAAAGAGTTGGATCTTTGAGCTGATCAATGTCATTGATAACCCCCTAGCAAACCAGATAAAGGAGAATAGCTTAAACATTTTATATATATATATATACAAATACAAAGACTGAAAGGTAGAAAGGAAAGGGGGCCAGCCCACAGACCTCAGGGCCCGGGGAACAGTGCAGTGGTGAATTCCCTCTTTCATTTCCCCTCCCATATATCACAAACAAAGCATTGTAGAAGCCTATAACTAAAAACTATCAACAGGCACAGACAAAAAAGCTCTAAGAAAAGTCTACTCCCCTTAATCAAAGTATCAAGAAAAGTGTGGCCTAACTGAATATACCCACCCTACTCCAGCCAAACACTAATAGAATACACATTCTCTTCAAGTACCCAT